TGTACGGTCTCACCTCCCAATCCTGGCGCGCAGGCATGCGATGACAGTCCCACACGTCCTTGTTTCTATCAAGGTCATGTAGATTTGGAAAATTAAACAAATAAGAACAATTTTAGTTTGTTAATTACGCGTTATTTAGTTATCCTTTTAAGGATTTATGCACTCTTAGTCAAGTTTTCTATGAACTTAACCTTCGAATAAGTTAAACTTTTGTATAAGAATGAGGATTAGAATATTAAGTATTTTTCGAAAATCAACTATGAGCTGGTTCGTTCAAACTGCTGCTGAGCTTTTAGTTTTACGACACTTCAATTTGAGATAATATAGATACCCCTTTTAGTACAGTTTAGGTAGATCTAAGAGAACTCAAATCAATATTAATTTATATTTTCAAAGCCAACATCGTCATCAGTTAACTTAAACATTAGCCTCGATCTAATTCAAGCTCATGAAATCGTTTAAAGTTTAAGCTTCCATCAAGTGGGCAAAATAAATCGCTCAAATATCAGGGACGAAAACAATTTTCAGAAACACCCCACCACTGTAACAGCTTCAAAAACTTAACAACGTTTCACGAATTATTTGGTCCACTTGACAAAAATATAAACTTGTGACCAGTGTACATATCACTTGACAACGTTGGTTATTATAACAGTTGACAAAAGTAGCCTATTACGGTCAAATTAATTTACATTAAATTCCGAAAAATTGTAGACGAACAGGCTTTAGAGCATGATGATGTTTGAAAACTGGTAAACTTTATTATTCTTCTCTTTTCTAACAAAAGGTAATCCGGTTGTAAAATATGGATTTCATTTTGAAATGTGACAAAATAAACATTTCGACGACTTTTTGAGGTGTCCAATTTTATAGACCGGAAAAAATTTATGAAAAGTTCCACCCTGCTGTTAGCTAAAAATGAATTAAAACTTCCGAAGCAGTTGAATTCCTTCAAAAAGCCATACGGCAAATCCCAGACTGGATCTTCCCTGATGGAATTATTATTTATTTTCTATTTTCTTCTTAATATTAAGGAAATGAGTACTTACCTTTTTTTCTATCTGAACTAATGTTATTTGCGGTAGAACGCCAGAAGCTTGTGTATTCTTTCTCAGGAGTTATAACATCCCGTTAAAGACGTTTGCCGATCCTTTTCACCGAACTTTAATAGCCACTCTAAAGATTAAAACCTGAGAGCTGGAAGACGAAGAACATTTTAGATGCACCAGATTATTGGAGGAAACAGCGAAATGTGAGCCCTTCGAATTAAGTGTAATTGGTCATGTAAGCCGAAAATTTGGCTCGGAAATGGCATACGAATCACAACAACTGTTTTAGGACAGCAAGTATATTAAACGATTTGGGAGCATTAATGATCTATGACTAAAACATATAAAAAACTGTTAGTGTCGCCTGGGCTTGGAAGAGAATCATCTACCATATCTGGACCTTGTTTCTGTTGAAATTGGACGGATTATCTGAAAAAATTTATCTACTAGAAAAATAGTATTTTCCCATAATCTTCATCTTAAATTAGAAAGACTAACTACAAATTACTAGAATCTGTAGGGTGAAACATCTGTAAAAGATATTGTCGCATGACCTTGTCCTTAACAATTTCTCATTAATTAAAAATTGAATCATAAAATCTAAATAATTTACAAAATGAGAAAAACATTACGAAATTCGGATTATTATTATTTTTACTAAGGCGAATCAAAAAAACATTCTTTTTATTTTTGTGAGGAAGCCACTGACGAAGGAGAACAATCCAACAAGGAGTGAGGGAACAGGGTCATTTAGAACATAAGAATGCACTCAGGGTATTAGAAGTGCCTCACTTCATTTGATTTTCACTGGTTCGTTTCCTACTGCCTTGGTGGTCAAATTTTAATATTCGTCATCCAAGCAAGTCAGGAAGAGATTTATCAGTTTATTGATTTTGAATTTGATCTCAACGTTTCAATCCATTTTTTTCCAGTTAACCAAGATACTTGATGTCATGAGCTCCCAAGAGCCCCCTCACTATGAAGTATTAGAGCCAAAGGAATCTTTTAGCAATATTGTGATTTAACGAACTTTTTCTACATAGTAAATAAAATATTGAGCTGATTTGTCACCACAGTCTGTACTTTGTTCCGGTGAGGAAAGGGAACTAATTGACTTGATCTATGTGCCAACATTCGGAGAATTATGTTTGCTGTGACTGAGTCACTGGGCTTATCAGCTACGTTTTACCCTACTGGTGGGCACATTGTGTTACCAAGGCGGTACATCCTGGTTTAGTAGGAGAGGAAGCAAAGGTTCAGACTTTTGCTACATGTGGCTAGTCGCGATCGGCCAATGGGGCAAAAATACCATGTGAGGGAAAAAGACTGAATGCTTCTAAGTCTGAATCCTATCCAAAGATGCAATAATACACTACTATGGCCTGTCACATGGATAGGCAACTAAAACATTTCCCTCCACAAGGACTGGAACTGGGCCAGTGTGCCAGGGCCAGGGCCATCAATGACCTCTAGTCTTGATGACGTGTGGTTGAGCCTATCAAGAATAACATAACTTAACTTCCTTACTTTTCGGACATCCCCGATGCAAACTAAGTCACACAGTTGCGTGTACGCGGGTAACATGTTTTGACTTGGGTTTCGTTTGCATTGATAGTTCATATGACCTACTATGCTAATCTATAAACACTTGAGAGTTAGGTCTGGCCATACGTTCCAATCCCTTTCCTTGCCAAAGTAAATTAAGAATTTACTCAAAAAATTTACTTATTTATATCGAATGACAGGCGTTTTGATAGTTATCATTAGCCCTTTAGTTGACTTCGGGCTTCACAGAGAGGGAGGGACTTCAAAGTGAATAAAGTCAAAAGAGGGGGGGGGGAACTGAAGAGTGATTCACAGATGTAGAGGAGACAAACAGACACAAATGTAGAAAAAAGGTGAGGTAAGTACTATGGAAGTAGTCGAATATGACATGCAGTGGGGTGATGGTAGTTTGCAGTGAGAAGTCAACTGCCAGTTAATAGACTTTTTTGCCGAATGATTATACGTTGCCCATAGTGCACTACTTGGAGGCAAGTCTTTCACACATCCCTTTACCCAATAAATAAATTGATCTATTTTTTCTTGATGCTACTTTATTTTTTGACCACGGCAGTGTCATTTGAACAACGAACGGAATCAGTCGTGTTGCCCATACAGGTGGAAATGGTTAAGAAGCTATATAGGATGCCTCATTTTCAGGCCTTTCGTAACTTCGGAGAACATTAGCGCAGTACTAGATTGACCCACTTTTTCAACATTTATTAGCATTGGAGTTGGCAAACTGTCAATCGAAAAGGTTAAAGCTTCAAAATAGTGAAGTGACTTTTGCAAATGCCAACCCAATAATCAATAAACAGTTCTTGCAGAGGATAGCAGCCCTCAACAAACTGAAAAATCTACTTTATTTTTGAAACATTATTTACTAATTTCCGTTTAGAGAATGGATCTCAATTTTAACCATTTAGAGCGTTCTATGTCCTTTCTATATTATCCACGCCTATTGATGCGTCATTCCACAAACAGGTTTCACGTGATCAAGCCGTTTGTGGCTGCCTGGGCCGACACATTCAATTGCAAACGTGAACAGTGTACGCACCAATAAGAGTAGTTCAAGCGTGCACACGATTGGCTACTGTGAATGCTTTTATCTCCTCCCACGCCCAATCAGTACGCGAAATGGCTAGGAGCGTCCAAACCTTAACTCAGTCCCATTCAATCTAAATCTGTTTACTTGCGTGGTATGTCGTCCCCTCCGACATCGGAGCCTTTTCTGCCTCCCGGACCTCGTTCCCATCGAACTTCAACTAGAAGTAATTCAGAGAGCGAGGACTATTTGGCTAACGTGAAACGAAAGGTCCTTCTTTCCGTTGATGCTAATGAAAGCAGCGACCGTGCTCTTGAATGGTACATAAACAATTTTCACAAGGAAGATGATGGTCTTCTGCTTGTTCATGTTGTTGAACCTGTTAACACTGGAATAAACTACGGTCTCGCCACCAAACCAGCGCTACTTACTGAAGATTTCAGTAGACATGTCCAGGAATTAGTTGATGAAGGAAGAGAGTTGGGGAAGAGATATCTTCACAAATGCAAACATGCTGGAGTTCAAGCTAGATTTATTCTTCATATAGGAGCTAAACCAGGCGAGCACATCTGTCGTTTGGCTAAGGAACAAATGGTAGATATAATCGTCATCGGAAGTCGTGGTATCGGTCGAATTCGTAGGACTCTGCTAGGCAGTATCAGTGATTTTGTCCTCCATCATGCTGGAATTCCTGTTGTGGTCGTGCCACCTCCACGAAAAGACTCGAATTCTGTATCCCAATCCGAAGATGCTCCGGAAAGTTCCAAACCAAGCCAACCTGTTGCGTGACTAATTAAACTCGGGTGATTTCTCTCCCCTTTTTCCACTTTATCTTAGCTTGATCCCCCACTTGCTTTCCTTCCATCAATGAGTAAATCAAATCATGTTGTGACTAATTTGCAATTGTATATATCTTGGAGTTTCATAGGAATAAATATTCGCTTGTTTAAACTGTCTCCAATAATGTTTAAGGAATCAGATAATTGGAGGGTTTATAATAGAAATCTGAGTAAATTTTCTTATTCTTTTTTCTGTCGATTGTTTTACCGGCATGCTTATCCGATTAATCCAGCAAAATTTCTCTTAGATGGGCGAATCAATATTAAAGTTGCTCTCTAACATTTCTTCATTACATAATAGCTTTTTAATAAATAACTTGTTATGCATGGTTGAGGTTTTTTATTTGATGCGCAGGAATTGAGAGCTCTATCCGTTTTTGCATCTTTAAAATCTGTACCAATTTAAATCGTTGTTTTCTCTAATCTCTTTTCATATGATTTATTTCTAGGTCGCTGTGGTGTGTTGTTTATATCTGTGAAACATAACTCTGATTTTTTCCATGTAGTTGTTGATCTTGAGATTTTGTTTGAATGGATTGACTGCCCTGGAAATCTAGGTCACTCTGAGGTTTCCTTATTAGAGGTGAAGGTATCACGAAAAACTCAGATTGGCTGTCATCTATTCAGTGACATTTAGATCGGGATTACTTGTAACTTAAGGCCTCGTTTTAATGATATTAGTGGTCGTTTGACCCTTTCACCTCAACTTTTTTGTTTATTAAGAGCAGGGGCAAATTGTGAACTCCTCATTTGTGCTATTTACCCTCATTGAGAGATTGCAGTGCTTATCTTACAAATATTGATTGGTTCTTTGTGGTGGGTTATTTTGTCCTTGATTCAGGTCATTTGTCGACTGGTGGGTGTCGGTCACAAATGTTTGGTAAACAATACTTACTTAGGTTGGTTAGGTGGGTATTTACGACTTGACAACTTTCGCTTCAACTAAGAGCATGGTAGAATAATTCATATTCAATGGTCACGTCCAAATGAGACAAACTAAAATGGTAGATTGAAAATGTTCCTATTATTGTCGTTAATGGCATACCCTGTCCGCATTCAAATTATTCACCAGAGGTATTATTCCCATTTTATGAATTTAATTCTCGGTGGTCCTGGCTGTGCACCCAAATCCTGATATTTTTATATAGTTATGAGTATTTATTTATTTCAAATGGCAGGCTTTATGATATTTA